TAAAGGGGACCCCAGAGTGTTTCTTTTACACTATGTCCCATGAAGACACAGAGAGGAGCTAGGCATCTCTGGGAAGATGGCCCTCTGAGGACCCAGCATCTGCCAGCATTTGATCTGGGGCCTCTCAGCTTCTGGGGCTGTGCTGTGAGATGTATGCAGTGTGTAAGCCTCTCAGCTCAGGTCTCATTGTCCTAGCAGTCAATACAGCCCACAGCTTACTTGCTTTTATTATTGCCTCCACAAAGGAATTCAGGCCCAGAGAGGTGAAGTCATTTGCCTAAGTCACACAGCTAACAATCCCTAATTGGGATTCTGGGCTTCCTGCTGCCAGCTTTCCCCCTTCAGCTCCCAGGTTTCTACCAAAGGGAAGGAAGGTGCTGCTGGGTCCAGTCTTTCTCAGTGGCTAGACCGTTTTGAAATCAGTTCTTCCAGCAGCCCACATGCACACTTTATGTAGAGGCCATCTGGGTTGGGTAGGTAAGGCTCAACACAGGCTGGTTGAAGGCCTAGGGTATGCTTTCCTGGACTTGGGCCAGCATCTTGGGCCCTGTCTCCAGAGCTCTGCCTTTGGCCAAGGCGAGAAAATTCACTGTGCCAAGGGAAAGAAGTGGTCTGCTCGGTTTTCAAAAAATAGGAAAAGGCAGCCTGTTGCCATGAGGATAGTTCATGTTTTCAAAGTTTAAAAATTTTTTTTTTAAATGACTCACATAAAAGCTACACACAGCCTCTTTGTAAAATACACGGAAAAGCCTCTGGCTCATGCCGGTTTTGAGTGTGGACCAGAGGGCTAGGGGCCAGGAGAGCTTGTCTGTCGCCTTTGAAGGCTCTGGAGTGGCTGGCATTTGGGAACCACACCGCACGTCACAGGAGAACTTCCAAATGCCCCTTATACGTCAGCAGCAAAGGTGTGTTGTTGCACACGAATGGAAAGGGTTTAAAAGCATACGTTTGTCTGTGTTCTAATGATTAAATTATTCACTGCATCCCTGTGATTTTTCATCTTTCTGAGGACGTGAGTTGAAGCTGACTCACAGGTAGACACTGTATCGGACATAGACTAACTTGATCTCGCCACTTCCTCTTGTGTTCTGGCCTCAGTCTGCTCACGACTTCCATTTTTAAGTAGCTTTCAGGGTTCGGCCCGTGGACCCTGCTCTGGGCTACTGGGGGCGGGACCTGGGACGATCGGGGCTTTTGTGGAATCCTTCACACGGGGCAAGCAGAGGTAGCTCTACCACGCGTGGCTGTGTGCCACTGGGGAACTGACTTCAGTCTCTGTGCTTCTTCTAATACCCGGATAGAAATGGTATCTGCTCCGTGGCATCTGCGATACCAAAGTCCAACACCACCAGGACAAAGACGCCTGCCTCAGCAGCCGCAACTCCTCCCCAGCTCCTTCCGGCTCCAGCCCGGCCTCCTCTCCCTCAGGAAGGCCTTGCCCTCCCGGGAACTGGGTCCCCCAAATAAATGCTTTCTCTTCTAAGTCGCCTTGGTCGTGGTGTCTCTTCACAGTTCTAGAACAGTAACTGACCCCGAAGGTGACGCCTAGGAATGAACTATTGTGATGATGGGCCTGACCGCGGGGGCTTATGGGAAATGTGGAAAAGCTTGGGACTTTAGACTAAGAAAGCGGTTGAAAGCTGTAAGCAGAACTATAGCGCTGAGAGCACTGTGGTGTCCCAGCTCACAAGAGATTTCCGAGGGGAGTGATATTAGCTGCTGGGTTAGAGATCATTCTTGTGATATTTTGGCAAAGAGTATGTGACTGAATTTTGTTTGTTTGTTTTTGTTATTTTTATTTTGTGTTTTTTTTTATTATTTTATTTATGTGAGTACATTGTAGCTGTCTTCAGACACACCAGAAGAGGGCATCAGATCCCATTAAAGATGGTTGTGAGCCACCCTGTGGTTGCTGGGAATTGAACTCAGGACCTCTTGAAGAGCAGTCAGTGCTCTTTTAACCACTGAGCCATCTCTCCAGCCCTGTTGCTGGTGTTATTTGTTTGTTTGTTTGTTTTGTTGTTTTTGCTCTTATCCTAAGAATCTGCCCGAAGAGTTTTGGAGTAATTTCATTGGCAGAGATTTCGAGACAGCCTAGTAGTGACTGTGTCCTGTGGTAATCAGTGATCACAGTATGCTACAATGAAAAAGAGAAAGCAGGGTGGAAAGGACCTGTACAGTTTGACAAGAAGAACAGCAGAGTGTAATATTGGAGCCAAGTCCAGTGCTACCCAGGTCCAGCCGTCTAAAGACTGGCCAGATGCAAAACGGGGGGGGGGGGGGGGGGAGGGTTAAGGGAGTGGTGCCCTCAGGGCAGGACCCCACCCAGCTAAGCTTCCAACTTGTAAACTGGCCATTCCAAAGGAATCTCAAGGTCCCTATGCAAAGGAAAATGGAAAGTGTATTCAGGGAAGGAAAGCATCAACAAATCAAAGCTTATGAAAATGTAACTCAGGGAGAGGCTCAGGTGCCATCCCAAGAAGGCAGCAGAATTTGGCAGCATTGGACGTGTGGCTCTGACTTTAGAGTCATGGAAGATACAGGAGTAATAGCATTGTGTAAAGGGTGTGTGCCTGGGTTGTCCATCATGGAAGCTAAGAGAGGCCATTTCGAGAAGGTGAAGTTGAAGGTGAATCCTGGGTTACCATGGAGACCCCGAGATGTTGGAGATGTTGGACAGGGGATGGAAGCAGCACAAGAGAGTGATGTGTCACAGTGTCGTAGCAAGCGAGGCATGGAGGGCGGAGCCATCTGAGCTCTTTGACATTGGACATGGAGCTACAGGATTTGGAGTTTGGGGTTTGGTCTTGCTCTGGTCCAGTGTTTCCTCACTACCTTTTCTCTCTTCCAGAATGGTGATGTATATTCTGTGTCATTGTACATAATGTATATAATTACAATGTATACATTGTATGCATTGGAAGTATATTGTCTGCTTTTTGAACTAGTGGAGGAGAGAGATGTGGATTCAGACAAGCTGGTCCTCTAGGGTTCTGTGTTGTATACAATGTATACAATTACAATGTGTACATCGTATACATTGGGAGTATGTGATCTGCTCTTTGAACTAGCGCAGGGGAAGGAGGAGATGTGGATTCAGACAGGCTGGTCCTCTAGGGTACTGTGTGTCCCTGGGGAAATGACTTAACCACTCTGGTTCAAGCAGTTACCTGGGAAATGGAAAGGTCAGGGCAGCTCTGCCTTCTGGGTGCTAGTATCACTGGATGGTCCATTGGGAGTGGCACGTAGCACTCTGAGGGGTCGGGCAGTGTGGTGGTTTGAACCTGTCCCCATTGTGTAGCTGCTGGGAAATTCATCCCCGTGTTACAGTAAGGAGGGGTGGGGCCTTTGAGGGATGATTCTGTCTTAAGTCTTCTGGCAAACTAAGGCCGTTGCTGCTGACAAGCTGACAGGCAGAGCTCAGCCCTCTCCTCCCTGCTCCTGTGTGGCTTCACCTCCTGTTTCCCACCACAGGCAGCAGGAAGCCCACTAGACACCAGCTTCCGGGCCGCTTCCCACCTCCAGAGCCCAGATCTACATAAGCTCCTGCTTGTGAGCTAACGTAGTCTTGGGTGTCCTGCTATAGCTGCAAAGACAAAGACAGGTGGTGAGAGATACGGTCCAATTGTCTAAGACTTTGAGGCTGGGCTGAGAAGGTTCCTCCTCCTTGTCTTTGTCTTCCCCTCTCCTTCCTCCTCCTCCTCCCTCCATTCTTCTGCTGTATTTATCTCTCATCTCTTTCTATCTTCCTCCCCCTCCCTACATTCTTCTCTTCTTCCCCTTTCTTCCCCATACCCCTCCCTCTTCTCTCTCCTCCCCTTTCTTCCCCTCCCCTCCCTCCTCTCTTTCCTCTCCCTTTCTTCCCTTCCCACCCCTCTTTTTCTCTCCCCACCCCCTTCTCCATTACCTTTCCTCTGCTTCCTTCCCTTCTTCTTTCTGTCCTCTCTCCTAATCTGTAAGTAATTTTAGGCAGCAGGGCTTCCAACCTTGACACACTTCAGCTTGGTCTCAGCTGTGAGCCCGAGCTGGCTGCCTGGACACAGATTCCTGTCCATGGCCTCAGCATCTCCATCCGCCACGGCTGAGCTACTCTTCCAGCCCTGTGGTAGCAGGCACGGTGCTGCATGACTCTCTTAACTGAAGGACTTACTATAGACCACACACCCTAAGGACCATTATGTCTTTCTTCTGGAGGCCAAGGCTGGGGTCTAGCCTGGTTGGCCTCCAGCTCTGCCATCTACTACTAGCTGGGTAGCATTGAGCAAGAAACTTAACCCTTACGTACCCCAATTTCCTTTCCAATAAACGAGGGTAATAAAAATGCCCGCCCACTGCCACTACTGTAAGAAGGGTCTGATACCAAGTGTGCAGCACTGTGAAGGTTATGTACTGAGTGCCTAGTACCCTGCCTGGTTCTTGGTTATTTCAATAATTCTGTTGCTGCTGGTGACAATGTAGCCAGTAAATTGGGTACCATATCAGGTGGGTACATAGACAGACTAGGGAAGAAAGCCACCAAAGGAGGTCCCAGTCCAAGCAAGAGACACACAGCAGGCAGGACAGCATGGTACCCGTCAGTGAGTGCTCTAGTATGAGAACCCAGAGCAATCTGTCCTGACCCGGGGAGGCTTCTTTCTTGGCCACGAAAAAAGGAGCTGGAGGCCGTCTGGCCACAACAGGGGCAGGACCAGCACTCAGAGGTAGGGAACAGCAGGCAAGAGGCCCTAGGGCTTGCTGCGGTCCCTAGAGCGGGAGAGATAACCAGCTGTCGGTGGGTCTTCAGGTTGGTCAGGAGTTACTTCCCCAGCAGCCTGGTTTGCGGCTCCAGCTGTGCTCCCAGCCAAGGGGCGGGTCATCCCTAGTGGGCCGCTACCACCCAGGAGCCCAGCCTGGCTGGCAGGCACAGCCTCCTCTAGCGGCCCCCACTCCGCACAGCTGGCGCCCCCGCCCTCCCTAGGCTGCTTCCTGCTCCTCCCTCCTCTCCCCGCTCCAGCTGTTTCTCAGGCTGAGTTCTGTCCCTGTCCCACACAGAACAGCGGACAGAGCGGACAGAGCGAGGCTCTGGGGATGTTGCTGGAGGTTGTGCTCCGCGGGGCTCAGACGAAATCTTCCGTGAATGAAAGAAATGCTTCCAAGCAAACAGCCACTACCAGAACAACTGTGTGACCAGGAGAAAGAGGCCAGGGCGTGTGAGTCCCCAAACCCTGAAGCCACAGGAGCCCAAGGCGGAGACTGGAGAGAAGGTACAGCTCTTGACTCTGAGTCCTGCAGAGGGCGGGAAGGGGCGCGCGGGCAGGGACAGGAGCTCCTCTCCTGTGTGTGTCAAAGGAAAAGTTTCTAGCATAGAAGAGCGACGCTGGTGTTTGTGAAAACCAGCGTGGCCATCGCAGGTCATCCGTTAGGGCGGATCTTTCCCCGAAGCCAGCTAGAAGCCAACTTGTACCTATCCACAGACCACCTCCTTTGGGCTGTTCCTGCTCCCCGGCTGACAATTCAGTGGCTTCTAGCAAAAGTTGTCTTGAAGCATGTAACTGCTGTCGGGTCCACTTCTCTTTTTGCTTTTTATTATTATGAGTGACCAGCGCTGCAATGAACACTTTGTGGGATAGTTTTGCTCTGTGTATTGGTCCTGTGGATACATTTCCATAGGCGACTTCATGCCACTGTGTGTGTGGTGCGGTGTGTGATAGCCAGATGGGATGTCTTTTTCTGTCACTCTCTGATTATCATAAGCCTTGTCAAGATCTCTCAGAGACCCAGAGGCAGGCAGAGGCAGGAGGATCTCTGTGAGTTCAAGGCCAGCCTGGTATACAGAGTGAGTTCTAGGGCAGCCAGGGCTACATGGAGAAACCGTGTCTCAAAAAATTATTTTATTTTTAATTACATATACACATGGGTGTATTTATGTGGGTCCAATATCTATGTGGGTCTGTGCATGTAAGTGCAGGTTCCAGAGACAAGAGGACCAACTTCCCCTAGAGATGGTGTTATGAGATGCTGGTGAAGCCACCATGTCAATGCTGGGAACTGAACCTGCATCTTCTGGAAGAACAGCTGGTACTCTTAACCGCCGAGCCATCGCTCCAGCCCCTCACTACCCTTTTTTTAAAGATATTTGAGCTGTCTGGTCATGGCACTTTCAGCCTGCTGACACTGCTCATGGCATGGCAGAGGGGGTGCAATAGCCTTGAAGCCTCCCCAACACTAGGGCTGCCTGCCTCCTGCCTGAGATGCTTCTTCCACTCGCAGCTCTTTATTTGTTGAGGCAGGGTCTCTCGCTGGGTCCCTGAGCTCACTGACTAGGCTAAGCTGGCTGACCAGTGAACCCCATGGATCTTCCCACCTCTGCTTCCTCAGCATTGGGATTATAAGTATGTACCGTGATGTATGTTTTTTTTAATATGGGCTCTGGGTATTTGAACTCTCTGACGCTCACAGAACAAGCCATCTCTCTCACCCACTGAGCCATCTCCCTGGTGGCCCCCGTGTGTCATTATTGATGCTGACATACTTGGTCTGTGGTTCCCTTGCTATGTCTGACTCTTCTGTGTGAATCTGCTCCCCCCGTGTTTATGGTTTTTTTTTATATCTAAAAGTTCTTTGCATATGGAAGACCCTTTGGCCACGCTGTCCATTGAAAGCATAACTCTCCTTCTGCTTAGGATACTAAGGCATTTAAGGGAGCCTGGCACAGATAATCACCACCTACAGCAGCCCCAAAGCGGCTACTTGAGAGCTTGATGTGATATTTATGTGGCTCAGAGAGGGCAGGCCACAGGTCTAAGGTCACACAGTGAGGAAGTGGAGGAGGAGGAGGAGGTCTTGTGTTTGCTGTGTCTTAAGAAAGCCTCGATTTCCCTTTATCTCTCCCTCCTTCCCCTTTCCGAGGGGATCTGTGGTTCTGGCTTCTGTCAAGAGCAAGGCCAGCTTGTCTCGGTGCCTTGCTGCTGCCGTGTGCGTGCCTGGTTTACGGTTCACTCAGGCTGCAGAAGGGACAGGCTCAAGATTCTCTTCTGAAAGGCTTGGCTTAAACTCGGGGGGGGGGTGTCTGGCACGTGAGAGGTCGGGGTGTTATCTGAGAACCAGGGGCGGGTGGCTCAGGACTCCACCAACTCTTTGAGGAGTAGATGAACCCCATACCGGCTCCTATCGACCTCAACCCAGTGGAGTGGTCTCTGCACCCCCAACACAGTTGCTCCCACGGTCTTATATCTGTCAATCATCTAGCCTGTCTCCTAGCAACCTTGGGAACCCCGAGGCTATGCTCAGTGTTATGTCCCCCGGGGCCTCCATCCCCTGCCTAAGCCCTGTCCATGAAGAAGGTGGGCCTCAGTTTTAACATCTGCAGAATGGGTTGGATATTGGATTGTAGTCCTGCCTCTTAGATGTTTGATTGCAAATGACACCTTGAGGTGGTTTTCTGGACCCTTTACCATGCCTCAGGACGAGGGTTCCAGTAATACCCCCAGTTTGCAGATTAGAAATTTGTGGCCTTTTAGGGTCCCAGGGACAGACTGCCACAGACTCCATAGGGCCCCGTAGCTTCAGATCCGGGTTTGTGCCTCAGTTTCCACATCTGCGAGATTTGGTTCTAAACAGGAGAAACCCAGTAGGGTTTTCACAAAGGTAGAATGAGATAGGCCCTACCTGGCAACAAGGCTTAGCAGACGGGGACACAATGTCAGTTATGTCCAGGGCACTCAGACCCTGCCTGTGCCATCAACCTTCTGAGCCACATAGAAGCCAACACGGTGTGCGAATGTGTGAAGAGTGTGTGTATGTGTGTGCGCACATGCATGTTCATGGTAGAGCAGACCTCTCATGCATGTATATACATGTATATGTGTGCAGACCAGGGACTGACTGTGTGTATCGTTCCTCCGGTGCTGTCTACCTTGCTCTTCTGCGACCTGGGGCTTGAGGAGTTGACTAGGCCGGGTGGCCATCGAGCCCCAGGGGTCCTCTTGTCTCTACCTCCCCAGCACTGAGGTCACAAGTGCACACACACTGCCATGTCCGGCTTCTACATGGTCGCTGAGCCTAGGCTCCAGTCCTTGTGCCGGCTCAGCAAACGCTTCCCCCACTGAGCCATCCTCCCAGACGTTAACATGGGGTTTTCAGGTTATTGGCGCTCAGGTCTCATTTGTGTGACCTCATCCCAGAGCCCCTGACTCCAGTGACATCGTGACCATCACTGACAGAGTTCCATGGGATGCTCTGAGCTTGTATTGGAATAATGGTGAGAGCTTCTATTCTCTCTCTCTCTCTCTCTCTCTCTCTCTCTCTCTCTCTCTCCCTCTCTCTCTCTCTCTCTCTGTCTCTCTCTGTCTCTCTCTCTGTCTCTGTCTCTCTCTGTCTCTCTGTCTCTCTGTCTCTCTGTCTCTCTGTCTCTCTCTCTCTCTCTCTCTCTCTGTGTGTGTGTGTGTTTGTGAGAGAGAGAGAGAGAGAGAGAGAGAGAGAGAGGAGCAGGGCACTGGGTGTCTTCCTCTGTCACTACGTTACTGCCGTAAGACCAGTTCTCTAGCCGAATCAACAGCTTGCTACGTAGACCATCAAGCTCCCTGAATATACACATCTTCCCCTTCTCCCTTCTCCGTGCTGGAGTTACAGGTACACACACACACATACACACACACACACACACTCATCCCCAGCCTTTAACGGGCAAGTTCTCTCATCCCCGAGCCAGCTCCCCAGCCTTCAAGGGAGTTTCTTAGAGTTTCAGTGTTTGTGAACCAGGCTGTCTGAGGGTGAGCCTAGAGCATCTCTGGGCCAAACGGGCTCCTCAGAAACTTCGATGCCCTTCCTGTTTGAGAGCGGCTGACTGGAGCCCTCGAGTGTTTTTCTGTTTCCCCTCTGTCCAGGCTCCCGACGCTTTGCTGTGTGCTTGGGTTTCTTTTTACTTCCTAAGCAAATATCCACAGATCTTTGTGAGGCCACATGCCCCGTGTCAGCAGGTTGAGGCCAGAAGACGGCGTGGAGAAGTGAAACTCTGCCTTATGGGACACAGCATGTCCCATGTCACCCGGTCACCCCTGGGTGGGGGCTTTGCAGTTACTTGAATCTACAGAGTCCGTTTGTCAAAAAACCAAACCAAACCAAACAAAAAACAAAACAACAACAAACCAGACAAAAAGATGCAACCTGAAAACCAATAAAAACACTGCTCCTCCGGGAAACAGAAGGGCAGCCCACCAGACTCCCTCCAAGAGGCTCCACAGTTCCAGGATGGGCTGCAAACTGCAGACCTACTCCAGGGTCTCAAGACATGGATGTTGTAGATGTTTGCTGGACTTGAGCCATCAAAGAAAAGGCGTTCTAATTCTCCTGCTGTTTTCTGTAGTAGGAGGCACAAGCCTGCTTAAGATTGTGTGAGCTTCAGGAACAAATAGGCCTGAAAAAACTTACTGTCCCAAACATGAAAAAGGCTGGCCGTCCTTCTTGTCTTCTGTTCTCTCTCTCTCTCTCTTTCTCTCTCTCTCTCTCTCTGACCTTCTATTTTAATTTTTTATTCATGAGTCTTGCCATGTTTCTCAGGCTGTCACTAAACTTCTGGGCTCAAGCCATTCTGCCTCAGCAACCCAATGCCTGGGCTGGCAGGTGCCCATCATGATTCCTGGCTTACAGAGGTATTTCTAAGTGGCAGGTCCCCACGTCCTAGTGACTCAGTGACTTGGCTTGCAGCCCGATTCTCCCTTCTGGCGGAGTCCCTGTGGGCTCAGAGGTAGATAGGAAAGTGGGAAGGCACGCACTGGGCCTTGGTGGGCAAGCACTGTGCACCTGGCATGTGAGATCTAGCCTGGTGGGCCAAAGAATGCTGGGATTTATAATCTGATGTGTTGCAAAGGATGCTGGGATTCGGCATTTTGGTGTGGGCAGCTCTTGCCCAGCCACAGCTGTGTCTGGGTCAGAAGAAGGGACCTTTATGAGTAGCTAAGTGTCCCTGCCATAAATATGGCGGGCTCTCAGCCCTCTTCTCATCTTTATTCGTTCTCACAGTGATGACTGACCGCTACGCTCACTGCAACTCCCTGGTTCTCAACTACTAAATGTAGATCCTCCTGGAATGCAGGCAATGGCCGTTCTTGTTCCCTTCCAGAAAAAAAGAGACAGGGATAACCATGTCACTCTGCACTGTGTAAGAGTGGACCGGTTTCAGATCCACACTCCCCTCTCACATCCTGTGTCAAAAGGGACCTCCCCCCGAACCCCCAGTTAGGACAACCGCCTTGTTGTGGGAGAA